TACATCTACTTTCATATTTCTATATCAATTTCTCTTAAAGAACCGATATAGAATTTTTTTGGAGACTTATGTTCTTTCATATTTCTATATCAATTTCTCTTAAAGTACTGATATAGAATTTTTTTGTAAAGACTTATATTCTTTATATCTTTTTTCTACATCCACTTTTATATTTCTATATCAATTTCTCTTAAAGAACCGATATAGAATCTTTTTTTGAAGAATAGATATAAAAAACATAAGNTTTTTATATCTATTCTCTACATTTTTATTCTTTTCTATTTTATCTTTGCAAAAATATATATTTAAAATATATATATTGAAATATATATTTTTTCTATTTACTATAGAATAGTAATATATCTATCTCTTTTAAATATACATGATGAGCTTTGAAGGATAGATATATTCTTTTTTCAATCATAAAATCTAAAACAAAACTCGGACGTGAAATTAAAATATATTTTAAATAATACTTTTTAATGTTTTAAACAGCTGTCCCTTGCGTAAAATATTTGATAAATTTTAAAACTTTCCAAAGTAGGTAAGTAAATAGGTATCTGTGTAGGTAGGGATGCGTATCTACAAGCGCTTGTAGAAAATTATATTAGGCCGGATAGGTAGGAAATATGATAGACCGAATAAGTAGAAAGAAATCAAAATGTCAAATTAGGATCAAGGCTGTTATGCAGCCTTAATCCTAATTAATAAGGCTAGTAACGTTTAAGATATGTCAGATGTCTAAGATAGGTAGGTAGGTAGGTAGGATTATATATAACTATTTATATATATATTATATTATATAATATTGTATTATATTGTAGGTTATATGTAATAAATGTGTAATAGAATTGTAATGTATAAAAAAATTGTAAAATGAAACTTGGAAATAGAAAACACACTGATAAAGAGTTTTAAATAAAAAAGCAAAAGTTATATTTCTTGGAATTGCAATTTTTCAGACATTATATTTGTGTACCGTTAAAACACCTTTGTATAATATACATGGTTTTTTGTGTATTTTGTATCTATATATATATGTAGTGTTTTTAACGAAATAAAATAAAATTTATAAAGCAGAGAGCAGCAAATGATGATGTAAAAGGAGATGATATTTGACTACACTCCACGAATTCTGATGTTGCTCGCTAAAATAAGATTCTTTTCTTGACTATCACATCTTTTCTTGTATATCACATTTATGTTGTACGAAAAGTTGCAATGATTTTTCTTATCCTTTTCTGTTTTCCTTTCTCATCTTCTCATCACGAGATCGGTCATTTTAAATTTCAAAAAAAATCAAATTCACGCTTTCGAATTTACTCACACACTTAAAGAAAGTGATCATTTAAAGTCGTGCACATAGCACAGAATAGAACCGCACGCTGTGAACATAGCGCACCGACATGTCGCTCGTGGACCGGCTGCGTAGTTTCAATGTGCTACTCTTATGGACCTGGCCGCTCTCAGGATTCTCTCTGTTAGCAGAGAGAAGAATGAAAGCGGCCAGGCCCAAATAAGAGTTTTTACGATCGCTTTTTCGGCCGGTAAGTTAGCGCGTGTCCATGAGTGGTGCACATTGGCAACTACATTGCGATGTCCATGAGCAACTTGTCGATACGTACGTTTTGTTCAAATATGGGCATGGTTAGGTATTCTGTGCTATGTACGGTGGACATGGTTGAATTCCGTGTTTCGTGCACGTGCGTTGGTATATAGACTTGTATGTACATCCAGAGATAAGACTGAGGTCCGAATTTATAGTCGTTTCTCAAATCTTTCTCAGATCTCGTCTCCAATCTCAAATATCAGCTCAGATCTTGAATTTCCAAGCGCAAGTTTGCAGTTTGCAATATTCTAAATGTGTTTTTAAATACGCGTGTTTATTAGAATTTGTACTCGCTCGCGAAGCAAGAGAATATTTACCGATCTTGGACAAACATTTTAATTAAACAAGTTACAGAATAAAATGAAAATAATAATATAGAGAATTACATTTTCTCGAATATTTTTGAGCAAACTAAAAAGATTATTTATTTTTATACGCAAGATTATATTGTATATTTAAGATTATATACTATAATCTTAAAATAGAAAGTACCGCAAAAAATACAGTTACTAACTCCTTATATTCGGCTCATTTTTCTATTACGTAAATTTAAACAGGTACTGAGATATTCGTGATTTAATATAACATAAAGAGAAACAAAGTTAATATAACAATAGATTATTAACAAAAATAAATTAAACGTTAAAAAAAATTAGATTAAAACATTATACTATTTAAACAAGTCTAAGACAGCATGCATTTCGTTATTTTACTGTTTAAGAAATATTCATTTATAATAAATATGTAGTTTAGTCATCTAGTTATGTTTCTTTATTTGTTGTTTCAAATACGAATTTTCTATGAAGACATTTATGGCACTAGAAAAGCTGGTTCGGGCAATCGTGTTGATAAGAACGATAAAGAAGTTACCTATGTTTCACAGATATTTGAACGTTGCAGACCTTAAAATTAATAAATTAATTTTCTTAAAAAATTAGAAAATTTTTATTTATCTATTAATCATGTATTTTAATATTGAATAAAACTTATACATTTGATGTTTACAAATAGGTCTTACATCTATAACAATAAGAACATTTTATTTTTGTTACTAAGTGGTGCTACTTGTTAACAGAGGGTCAGCGCTCGAAATATGTATATTTTAAAACTAGTAGTGAGCAAATCAGTGCGAACTGCGCGTAAATTTTTAATTTTGCTAATTGTGAAAGGTCGAGCACATAATTTCAATATTTTACGCAGTTTCAAAATTAAAGAAAAAGTGTGTTTAAACTGCTTTTCTATTGCAGTTTGTAATCGTGAGCAGATTCGTACGGATTCGAGATTACTTGTCGACGGTAAAGTGAATGTAGCATGAATGCAAACCTTACTACATTTCTATACCGTTTATGCATGAAAGTGGATATTGGTCCGTGAATTTTCTACATCCACTTTTGTTATTAAAAAACAATTTGATAGCCGCTCTTGGGCTTCTGTCTAGAATCACTTATAATATAAGCAATTTCTCATATATAAATCGTCATTAAATATTAGACGTCACATTAGTGAGTAAAGGTATGAATGTCCATTAGACGTTAGACGTCTAATAGACATTCATCCATATGTCTATGGATTATATGAGATTATATATTCGCACGCGTTATTTTTATCAGTGTTATTAATCAAAAATAATAATTAAAACAAAATATATAGGTAGAGATATTTGTCTAATTTTGCGCAGTTAAAGTCTTTTCTATAATTCTAGGTAATGCAAAAGCAGCTCTATGTATTTTGTCATTGTAATATTGCATTTCCATGCGATCGAGATCTTCTTCGCTAAATACTTTCAGTGGTTCTCTGAAATTCGTTTGCTGAAAGAAAATAGCAATTTTTATTAAGTTTGTTTAAGAAAAAAAATCAAATTTTAAACTGTACGTGATTTGTCGTGTATGTACATTTATTCTGTACGTGTTTTTTACGTTGACGAGTTTTTTGACTAAATTAATTTGTTGCAAATAAAGTGTTATACTAACGCTATCTTTGCTTCCTAGAATGAAACCGATTTGTCCCGTCGGATACGTCGGTACAGCTGTTATCGCATAGGTTGCAACTGGAAACACAGATTTACAATGTTTTAAAGTACTCCGAACTTGATCTATGCTCTCCCATACTGTGCCACCTTGACTGGCAATAATTCCGCCAGGTTTCAACGCGTTCTTTAATAATTGATAATACTGTTGTTTGAAGAGATTCTCAGCGGGACCTAAATATTAAAATAATTAGCACTAATTATTACTACAGAACAAAGAAAGACGGCTTGTATGTTTGTACAAAAAACTCTCTTGTTTTATGAGAGTGCTACAATTAATATTTATAAATAGAATGTTGATTACTCGCCTACGGGATCGCTACTATCCGTGATAATAACATCGTATTCTCCTTGGTGATGCTGCAGAAACTCGAAACCGTCGCCAGGAGAAACATTTACTTTAGGATTATTCAAACCTAGGCTTAGATGGGGAAAATATTGTCTGCACACTTCGATAACTCTATCGTCAATATCTACTAGCGTAATGTGTTTCACTTCCGGATGTTTCGCGACTTCTCGGGCAGCTCCGCCGTCGCCTCCTCCCACTATTAAAACCTGTTTTATAATAAAAATTATGCAGTAAATTTAAATAATTAACTATATAAGTACATATTAATAATAATTAATTAACAAATAAGATATAAAACGCTCGTTATATAAATAATTAATATAACAATATTTCTTTTTAATTACTATATAATTAATTAATTTCAAAGTTTTATTTATAAAGTTGAACTTGAGTTTGTAAAACTGCTTGTTTATTAGCACGAAGTCAAATCAATTGCAATACGTACATTTTCGGGTTTTGGATGGCTGCAGAGCGGCAGGTATGCTATCATTTCGTGATAAGAAAACTCGTCTTTTTCTGTGCATTGAATTACGTTATCTAGTATTAAAGCCGTGCCATGTGATTTTCTGCAAATGCGACATTGTTTCGTTGATATAAATAATTTTTATTTACAAAAGTATATTTGAAAAACATTGTCTTAATATATTAAACAATTAAAGATTTTAAGCTATATAGTAAAAATATATACTTACGTTTTTACTACTAAGATGTCTTGATACTTAGAGCGTTCGGAATGTAGTACTTCTTTTATCTCGAGGGAAAGTGCAACGCCAGGCCAGAGATCGTTGATCTCACTAAACCAACCTTTTTTCATAGTATCCATACTGTTCTTGTTGAGATATATGCTGCACAAAAAAAAGATATCCTTTATTTGACTAATAAAGTAAAAGACAATTAAAAGCAACATATATTATATATTTTAAGTAATACAATAAAATGTGCAACACAGATTAAAACTGACGGGATTATAATTTTTTTAGAAAGAAAATATAATAAAATGATGAATTTTAACGTTTTGAGAAATTGATTGTTTCAAAATTGTTGCGCAATGAATTATCAAAAAGATACACATATGTTTTGTAATTGGTAACGATTATAAGTAATTTTATTCCAGAACTGCTACATGATGTATCTATAAACTGATTTGGTTGTATCAAGGCAAGTCAGTGACATTGACATGTACCTGATAGCATGTCGATAAAATATCAAAGAAAAATAATTTTTTTAAATTTTTTTTTTTATTCTATAGTGTGTCAAAAAAGAACGTGACCAGTTTAATTTATAGCAAAATTTATTATATAAATATATTTCTATGGAAAAATATATTTATTGTATAAGACTAAAAAAAAATACATTCATTCTATTTAATTAAAACTAAACTTCTTTCGTATTAAAATAATGTGTCCAGTCACCAATGTTGTCAATAATTGCCTGACTGATCTTTGAGACATACTTTTTGCTAACTTAAAATATATCAACTATGTGCAATTAGCAAAATGATGTCTACGCGAAACGGAGCATGCACTCAATTCACAGAAAAACGTTTTTGTTTTAAACAATTGTATTGCACCAATTAAGTTTCGCAAGAAAATTAATGAGCAAGCGTGGTCTTTTAACAAAATTTTAAAATATTCAGGTATTTTTTCCATGATTCTATTGGAGCGCTCTTAGTCCCGTCGGAAACTCAGTTGTAAATCAACTCTAAGCACATGTGCTCGTGGCAGAAAATGCGAGGATCGGTTTTTCTTTTTTATTCACTCTGCGTAACATCACAAGTCTTTTACCGGAAACGGCATGCGTATGGCATGCATTTTGTGCTTTTTTATGATAAATTTAATAATTTCACGAGCAGACAATGAACGAACGTTTATATAATAATGCTGTTACAAAAACTTTCTAATAAAAAAAAATTACTGCTGCAAAATTATGTTGCTATGATTATTTCGATGTATTGTAAACTAAAGCCGTAATACTTTATTAATTAGTCGAGCTAGAGAATTGTATTGAAACGTTTTGTCGAATGTTGTACTGTGTTGGATTAAATGTAAACACGTGCGTTTTCACGTGTTGTTTCCTCAGGCAAAATTTTGCAAGTATAATTAAAACAATGATATTATACACACGGCCACAGTTCGTCGACGAAAGTTTGATTTATACTGAGCCGAAAAAGCTACTCAATAATTTCTTTATATTTAACTTGGTTTAGATAGGTTTATCGCTGATTATCATGTTTTCTCTAATTAAAAGATAATAAAGATTACTTCATATGAGACAAAAAGACGCGATGTGTGTTTTACATTTCTAAAATATTTCACAAATAAATTTTTAATTTTAACTTAAAACTTATAACATTTAAGGCTTTAGCGGCAATCGTTTTAAATAATAAGATTAGAAATGAGAAAAAAACACACAAAATTGACAACAATAAACATCTTCTGATGCAAAATATTAAAAAAAAGTTTCTTGCGAATTTCTAATACATTTTATCGATTGTGTGAAAATAGATTTGTATAGAAATACTCTTTTATTTTAACGTAATATATTACAAAAACTTTTGTAAATATTAATTGTTCAAGTTGTTATTCAAGATAACGGTAGCGAGCAGTCTTTATACTTGTGGTGTAAATATCACTTACTAGTCACTATATCAGCAGAAAATTCAATATGTCTTAACACACTCTTTTCTTGAAAACTCTTGCAAATAATATCTTCTTCACTAATACACTCACGTTTATTTAATATGAATAAACCTTTTTAATGAGCAATAAGATGATAATACACTCGACCTTTATACTTTGATCAATTGACGCACGTCGTGCGTGCTCTCCGTAGTACGACTCACGAGAAACAGAAGATACAGTGCTCGAGCAGCAGCTTTCTAAAAGAAAGAAAACGATTTGCAGCGCTACGTCCGAAAATTTCTTCAAGTCACGGTACATAAAATCTGAGTTGTTTCAAATGTACGGTCAAATTTAAAAAGAAAAAAAAAAAGAAGAATGACCTATAGTTTTTGGGTAAAGAAAGATCTATTATTATAGGACTAGGAACAATAGAGAACCGTTCAGGTACTAGCTTGTCTTTTCACAAAAGCTAAATTCAATTTAGAACAAAGTTTGAAAAAAAAAGACATTTTTCACAAGGATATTTATTTCTAACGATAATCATTTACTTTCTGCTATAAAAAAAGTTAAAAATTTTTATGAGTAAAAATAATAAAAGAAAAGTAATGAAAGTACGTGGAAAAGAAAAACCAAAAAAATCAAATCAAGATTATATGATATCTAAATGGAATTACAGCAATTCTTCTTTATGCGTATGCGTACATCGATCAACTGACGACGTGGACACGCACATAAAAAAAATAGCAGAAAAATTACATGTTGTTACAACTCACACGTTGTTAGTGTGAAAAAGCCTTAAATATTTTTTCTTTTGATATTAAGCGTTGATAATAACGGAAATTTATATATCTACAGTTGCTGGTTCCTAAAACTGTTGATATTATACCAACATAAGATATATATCGCGTTTGCTTAATATTAATTTTCTCATATTTCAGTTGTTAAGATAGAAATTTGCAATCATGGATAAACTCACAAATAAATTATCATGTTAGGAATATGCAAAAGTGTTCTCTTGGTATTGCACATCGATGGCGCTGTATGGCCTTTGACTTTGTTATTAGTGACCTTGCTTTTTTATTTCACGCATTTTTATATTGTATGTGCCTTACCATAATCTTTAGATTGATCTGGTATCTTTAAAACTAGAGATCGATGAAGTGCACATTTGGCACTGTAATAATATTTTTATTAAAAAACCTCCGAGAACTTCTTCCTAATATATAAAATATACATATGTGTGTATTCTATATATTAAGAGCATGTGTATTACAAAGATAAAACGCGAAATTATAGATTTCTTCTATTTTTTTATATTTATTATCATTAATTTTCTTTTTCTTCCTCTCTCTCACTCTTTCTCTCTCTCTCTCTCATTAATAAACGATTTTTAATAAAAATCCAATAAATAGTATAACAAATTATCTGCAAATGTTAGGTTTTTACAAAAAGAATTTATAATAAAATAAATTTAAAATTTATGATTTTGTGTTTAGTCGCTATGACGACTTCAATTTATTCAAAGTAGTACGTTGCATGTAACATATGCTATTTCAATAAGAAAGTCGCATAATAAATTAAATAATAAAAATTACACGTTATTTTGTCAGAAATCAGTTTCCAAAATTATACATAAATATTTGTGAATAAAAATTGATAGCTTAAAAAAATTTGTAACTAAAACGAGTGCACGAGCGATAAGCTAGTCGATATGCCAAGTGCAGAGCGGTTTTGCTAAAAGTATTATGTATATACCTATAGAATAACTGTGAAAGCAGTAGCGCGCAGTAGGTGCGGGAACCCGGACCGCGGAAATCAAGGATACGAGAGGATTACGACTGCTAGTTGCGTAGTTTCAAAGTTAGTTATGTCTTACTTACGCTAGAATACCTCCAACCGTTTGCATGTGTTGCCGTATCCGTTGAGCGTTTCCTCTTTGCTTTCCTCCAAGAGCAATTGTACAACTAAGACATTGTTATGTTATTTCAAACGGTTTCAACAGCTAATTGTTCGTTTCATAGAGATGCGTTATAACTCGAATTTTTAAGTCGCTTATTTTAAAATATATCATTAGCAAATTATAATATAATTTAGACGTTTTGTCGTAAAGTTATATCAGTAACATATCCACAGGATATATTAGTAATCTATTCCGCGCGCGCGCGCAAGCATTTATACCGTAGTGATAAATTGAATTTTCAGGTAAAACAAAATGAGAAATTACATTAACTTTAAAATTTCTCGCAAAAGTGTTACTCGATAACAATGGCCTGGTTTTCTTGCGGCTCTCGAGATGTTCCTCTTACGCCGCCTCGATCCGTCGATATATTTCCGCACGGAAACTAATACCGGGCGTGATACGTCGGGAATGTACGTATCGGATTACGCTATCCGGGAAAGTGACGTTAGATATATCGGTTAAGTCGATCGTAATTATGTCGACTAACGTGAAATATGTGCGCATCAAAAAGCGTTAGTCCAACAATATCTCAGAATCGCGCGCGTCTCATTATCAGTAAGCGTCGCTTTGTTCCAGCTCTCGGACTCGGAAGCGAAACGAGACGGGAGCGAAGCTACTGCGCAAATTTTCCTCTTATACACAAATTTCACATGCGATCACACGTGCGTATATCGCGACTTTTTTTTATATACTTTTTGTAGGCGCATATGTATATCCGCAATTTTTACGGTAAAAGCTTGACGTTCGTGGCGCGCGCGCCCGATGAAAATGTCGATTTACTCTTGACGTAACGCTTTGATGCGGCGTTTATCAAAGTGTGCTTCTGCGCATCAACCGGCTGTCCGGATAACGCGCTATCGATGGACATCGACTGGTAAAATCGCGAATGGCCCATTTTATCGCGCCTATTAACATCATAGTTGACGAGTATACGAGTTTGATGTCAAAATGTTGTCTACCTAAACAGTTTCTATCGCGAATTGCGCAATAGTGACGCGCATGAAAAAACTTACGAACTAATATATAAGTAAAATTTAAAAACTAATATATAAAATAATAAAAATTTACAATTCATTTATTTAAAATAAAAAATTTATAAATTTATAATTTATATATGTATATATAATTAATTTATACACTTAATTTATTTAAGACAGTAATGTATAAACTAATATATAAATATGAAAATTATATACGTATCAAAATATTATATACAAAACAATATAATATAAATTCAGAAATAATATAATAAATAACATATAATTATATAAATTCCGCACAAAGTTTTATTGTTTCTTCGCGTGTTATTTCATTGATACAATTTACTTTTTTAGATGCACAAATTATATTGCATATAAAAACATACGTGTGTACACGCCACATAAAGGTAACTATAATAGGTCTCGCTTATAAGTGCGAGGGAACGGAATCTCGGATTGTCGAAGTTAAGTGAAGTGTTTAAAGGATTAAGCGAAGCTATATGCCGAAAATGGAGCGAGCTGGTCACTAAGCCGTATTGCAAATCAGAAACTAAGGCACTCGGCGGACAGCGCGCTCACCATAATCATCCAGGCGGATTTCCGCGGATTCACGCGCGTCCGTGCGAGACGATCCGAAACTATCCTGCAGTGCCGGTCCATGCCGACGGCGAGTCCGCGCGCGGAACGGAGAATCGCGATGTGTGCGTTCATCCCGGCGCGACGCGCGGCGGAGTCTCGGACGCGCGTTAATCTGTACGTGTGTCTGCGCGTACGATGGCCCGTATGATAATGAAGGCGTCATTAGTAAACTATTATGCAGGAAACTATTATCGTGCGTACGTGAGCGTCGGACGGGTGCAAACGGATGGACGGAAGCGTCGCGTTACGGGAACGTAATTTGAGGATTATGCCTGCTCGTATATTACGGTAGGAACAATGCCCACGGTGACATCACTGTCGTACAATCACGTACGTAATCCTCGAGGATCTTCTGGAATTCACCTCACCGCACCCCCTCCCTTAACCGATTCTCATACCCCTTCCGCTTCGCCGCCTTCGTTCTGAGGCGATTTCCTGCGTCTATACGCGCTAGTACCACTGTCACCAGGCCCATCGGACCACTCCCTTAAGCTTCCGAAGTAATACGATATGATCCGATGGGATTAACTTCGCCCAAACTTGGAAGGAATTATATGAGAACGGGGGAACTGTTTTGCAAAAAGAAGTCGTGGATCGCAGCAACGCGTGGGAAAAGTTAGAGCGCTTAAAAGCCGGTGCGCGAGGGTTACATTGTTAATACTGCGATTACGCTTCTTAGTTAACCTTCAAACGGAATAATAATTAATACTTTCTGATCTCGATCAAACCGAGACCAGAAGCCGACTACGTCGATTCGACTTCGTAAATTGAGCTACTTGGGATTTACGAGCGTACGAATACACGTCTGTGCGGGCTGAACACATACGTTCCCGGCTAATCGATGCTCGGAGCTAAACATGTATTTGCAACTTTAACGCTGGCGAAAGATTTGTCTTGTAGTTGTAACAAATGTCGTCTTCACGAGTGGGATTTTACGATTTTCTTTAGTACCAGTCTGATTTACGGCAAAATAAAAATAAAAAAATCACAGAAAACAATTCTCCTCGTACAGGAGTAATCAATTTAGTAAAAAATGTGGAAATAATAATAGAGAAGTTCGCTCGTGAGAATTTCAAAATGCGGAAAGGAGGGTCACATCTGGATCTTCTTGATGAATTCGTTTATTACAATCTGTCACACAAACGTTTCAGTCTACTCTGGGATCTTCTTCAGTGACAATCTGTACGAACAAGAGTTACAAAGAAATAAAATTCTCCATGAAAAGACAACAATCAATGATAGAAGATTATATCCTCGAACAACAAGCGCAAATCAATAAAAGACATACCTGTGAGTAAAAACAAAAGATCTAACGATTCTAATCGTTGCGTGATGTACCACGCGTCTAGCGGTTCGCAAATAAATTTATTGTCAAAAAGAAAGCGGTGTGTGTCGAAATTCTTAAATCAAACGTGATCTCACAACCAACCCCTGTGAGACACGGAGTTTACGCATCTTGTGTGTATATTTATATTCCCAAGACACATGTATCGCCAAGTCGCAGAAAACACGTTGAGATCAATAAACAACAAGAAACCGTCGAGGCTTAGAATATAAATAATACAAAGATCAAAAAATAATACAATACATGTGTGTAATACAACTTTTCTCATTAATAATTTTGTATTTAACCGCGCACAACCCCCGTGCAATTATGAAATATTTCTCGTCAAAATCAAACG